AACTATGCATCATCGTCGTCCACAATGTCCTTCCTCCTCTTCTGCGGCACCACACCTGTCACACCATCCCCACGACCTGTGCCGCCTGCCGGCGCGTGCGTAGTATCCGGAGCATGAATCTCCCCCTGTGGCGCCGCCTCAACCCCTCCCTGTGGTCGAAGAAGATCGTACACGGAAACCCTCCTCCGCTGGCCATAAGGCATCTCCAAATCGTCTGTGCCAGACTCCCAAACGACTGGCGCCTGTGACGGTGCCTGCTGGCACAATAAATCGGCAATAATACTCAATCTGAGTGCCTGTTGGCACAATAGATCGCAATGATACTCAATCTGAGTGCCCGCTGGCACGGTAAATCGCAATGATACTCAGTCTGAGTGCCTGCTGGCACAATAGATCGCAATGATACTCAATCTGAGTGCCTGCTGGCATGGTAAATCGCAATGATACTCAGTCTGAGTGTCTGCTGGCACAATAAATCGGCAACAATACTCAATCTGAGTGCCTTCTGGCACAATAGATCATAATGATACTCAATCTGGGTGCCTGCAGGCACTATAAATCGGTTTGCTCATACAAACAACAACCCTCTAGTTCTCTAGCGCAATGCGCTCAGGCACACAGGCAATCTTCGATTCTCTGGCGCGGTGCGCTCAGGTATACAGGCGATCTTCGGTTCTCTGGCGTGGCGCGTTCAGGCACACAAGTGACCCTTCGGCTCTCTAGCGCAGTGCGCTCAGACATACAGACGATTTTCAATTCTCCAGCGCAGTGCGCTCAATCACACAGGCGACTTTCGATTCTCCAGCGCAGTGCGCTCAGTCACATAGGGGATTTTCGATTTACTAGCGCAATGCGCTCAGACACACATGAGATTCTCGATCTGCTAGCACGGTGCGCTCAGACACATAGGCGATTCTCGATTTACTAGCGCAATGCGCTCAGACACACAGGCGATTCTCGATCTGCTAGCGCAGTGCGCTCAGACACATAGGCAATTCTCGATTTACTAGCGCAGTGCGCTAAGACACACAGGCGATTCTCGATCTGCTGGTGCAGTGCGCTCAGATACATTGGCGATTCTCGATTTACTAGCGCGGTCCGCTCAGACACACAGGCGACCCTTATGCTGCAATGGCGCACACTGAAGATGCAAGGGTGCGATCGTAAATAAAATAAAATAAAATTAAAATTAAAATTGGGGTCTTTTTATGAGCAGCCGTCCTGACTACGGGAAATGACAGGAGCGAGTAAGGAGGGAGGGAGAGAGAGAGAGAGAGAGAGAGAGAGAGAGAGAGAGAGAGAGAGAGAGAGAGAGAGAGAGAGAGAAAGAGAGAGAAGCAAGGGAAAGGGGCTATGGCCCTAGTGGGAATCAAGACCACCTTACTCCCCCTAGATGCCTTACCCCTTTACTCCCACTAGCTCCAGCGCGGCAGTCCCTGGTTTGTCGCTTTGCCAGTGCCTCCGCATTCCCGTAAGTGAGGGCTTCTCGTCCCTTCTCAAGTGGCTCGGACTCTCTTTTATAGTGAAGAGGTCGGGTGATCCGGCAAGGTGCAGCAGTCCTTGGGCTAAAAATATCACAGGCCTGTGCTAAAATTAGCACACGCCTGCGTTAAAATTAGCGCGGGACTGGGACAGTCCCAACTTTGGGACACGAACAGTCAGTCCCGTGTTAAAAATAGCACGGGCCTGCGCTAAATATAGCGCGGGCCTGTGCTAAAATTAGCGCGGGACTGCA